TGGAGAGAAAACATTCTCTCAGGCTTTCACAGAGAGCACGTTGGTCAAGCAATGGCCGTGACTCATCCACATGGCTGACACTGACAAAGGATCTACACAGTGCAGTACAGGGTTTCAGGATAAGGCCTGAGGGGGCTTGACTGACCATGTCAGATACAAAAAAATTACATTTTTTTTATATAGGTCTTGCTTTGTCTTGGTCTTAACCATCCAGCAGAAAAGTGTAGAAACAAGATATGAAAAGTGAAGCCATGCTAATATGCTGAGCTGTGGAAGGCTCAAGTCATCAGATTTGGACATTGCCAGTCCTGTGGATAACTCACTACTGTTGTGGACTACTGGACTATATTGGAATATTTTGCTGAATTCATGCACCTACAATATTTGGATGGCAATGGAATACCCGTCTCTGGCAAAACTAAACAAAAAGGAAGACATAAGGAAAGACGATTTTGCATCTGTATATACAAAATAGTATAGATGCATAGATACTTTCTCTTAGTTCAGTAAGAAGAAAGATTTGTACTAATAGTGTTTTGACAGGATATCATATCTGCATCTTCTGCTATGAATGACTACTACAAAGACAACAATATGCAATATATTAATTATTGTAACTCTCCTACCAGCCTGTTTGGAAGCTGTCTCATTGCAATTTTTTTCTCAATAAAATTAATGAAAAATGAAATTATTCCATGCATATTACCTGACAATAGTGCAATGAAATTGGAAATAAATTGCAAAAGAAATTACAGAAACTCCATAGACACATGGAAATGAAATACCCCCCCCCAAAAAAACAATGGGTGGCAGATGAAATTAAACAGTATCTGCAATTAAGTGATAATACCAGCACAACATACTGGAACTTATTGGATGAAATGAAAGCAGTACTATGAGGCAAATTAATAGTGGTGAATTTTCACATCAAGAGAATAGAATGTATTCAAATAGCTCTAACTTCTAGAAGAAAAACAAGTCAAGACTAAAGTTTATATAAGGGAAAAATTATAAAGATCAGAGCAAAAATTAATACAACTGAGACTAAGAAAACAATATAAAAACTTAAAGTATCAAAGAGCTGGTTCTTTGAAAAGTTAAATAAAACTGACAAACTCTTAGCTGATCTTATCAAAACAAGGAAAGAAAAGACTTAAATACATGCAATCAGGAGTGAAAAGATGAAATCACAACAGATCCTTTGGAAGTCCAGAAGTTCATCAATACCTACTTTGAGAACATTTACTCTAAGAAGATGAAAACACACAAGAAATGGACAGATTCCCAGACACATATAAATTACCAAGTTGAGTCAAGAAGATAAAAAAAAATTCTAAATAATTCAGCATTGGTCAATGAAGATGAAAATGTAACTAAAAGTTTACCACCACCACCACCAACAACAACAAAAAGCCCAGGTCCTAATGGATTCACTATTGAATTCTACCAGACATTTAGAGGGGAGCTAATGACATCACTGGTCAAACTCTTTAATGAAATTGAGAGGGAAGCCAAACTCCCAAACTCATTTATGGAAGCAAATACTACCCTGATATCAGAACCAGAGAAGGACCCAAACTAAAAAGAGAACTATGGGCCAATCTCCCTCATGAATATAACCCTCAATAAGATACTAGCAAACAGAATGCAGGGAATCATCAAAAGCAAAAGAATTATTAATTCCAGTCTCCTCACCAGGTTTCTCAATGTTCTTGCAAAACATTTAATCCTCTACTCTCCATAACCATGAACCAAATGTTTAAAAACCAAAAGCCCATGAAAAGGAAATGGATTTTTATAGACACATCCTGTGGACTATTCTGGATCCAGGGACCTAGACTTCCAGCATTAGTTCTCCACATCCTCTGCATGGGGAAGGAATGTTGGTGTGGCCTTGACTTCCCAGGAGTCTGGGTCTTCAACTCTGTCCCCAGACAAAGAAGTTTTGTGTCCAGAGTTTGCTTCTTCCTCATATGCAAGATGCTGAATAATTCATCCCAAAGCTAGCGGCTGGTTCCCTGTGGTGGACTCTCTTTGCAAAGCATCTTGGTAACCAGGAGAACTCTGACTCTACTTTATAATTACCCAGCTGAACAAGTCTAGCACTTCCTCTGGTCATGACTTTGGGACCTTTTGACAGAGGAAGTAGTAAAAAAAAAAAAGCATCCCTTAATTTCAGTCAATCAATGAAGAGATGGTTGCCTTTGGAACCTGTACTTTATAATTATATACCAAGAAATTACTACTTTGATCTAAGTGGGGTTGTGTTTAGGGTCTAAGCCTCTGACTCTTGGATTCATTCAGGTTTTCGCCTCCCTAGGAGATTGATTACAGTGGAACAAAGAAATACATTCTCATCATTCAGATAAACACGTTTACAAAAGCAAACTCACAGCATTAAATGTGTGGGGGACCCCAGGAACCTGCTCCAACTCTTCCTGTAACCTGCTACCGAGGGCAGTGGTTCTCTAGGCACAGCCCCCAGGAACTGGCCAGCAATGCAAGTTCTCAAGTCGCACCAGGACCTCCTGAATCAGCTCTGTAGGTGACTCTGGCTCATTCTCAAGGTTGAGGACTACCGATCTAACACACAGAATATATGTTCACAGACAAAAAAAAATAAACTGTGACTCACTGCTCTTATGCCTTAGAGGACAGCTGCCCAGGATCATGTGCTCCCAGTTCTCAGAGAAAGACACCATAGTGCATCCCTACTTGTCAGATGGGTGCTAGGAGGGAAAACTGTGAGGACCTGACTCTGTTTCCACCTTTGGACTCACTGTCCACAGACAGCACCCACAGAACCTGATAACAGTCTGCTATAGCTAGATCTTTCCTCTTTTTTTCCAGCTAGACTCTCCATGTACATTTGGTTTCAGCTGTGCATAGTCTTGCCCAGGCACTACTCCCTAGCATGGTAGGGTGCTCTGCCCACCTCGCAACCCTCATTATCACATCCCTCCCTGGGCATGGACGCTCCTGGTCTTACCTTCCTCACTGCTCGCTGACCTACACTGCTAGCACTGCACCCCCTCTAGAAGCCCAGGACACCCATCTCCCTCACTGTCACACCTCCAACAACTTGAACAAAGCATGGGGTTGCTAATCACTCAGAGGGGACTGCAAAGGAACTATGTATTTCTTGTACAAAGGGGAGCATATACATATTTTATTACTGATTGCTTGACTCTTAAGAATGAATAATCGACCATTAACTTAACAAAGAGTTCTGTGGATACAAGAATGTATTTTTTCAGCACATTTTATCTTAAGAAAATTTCCAGTTTCCAAGTTACTTTTTTTTTTTAAGCTGTGCATACTCATGAATATTTGGTCCCCAGCTGTACCACAGCTCCATCCTTGGACACCAGCAGCATGGCCATGGCCACTTTAGCCAGCTGCTCTTCTCCTTGCTGAGTCAGAGGGACAATGACCTGGAGACTTAGATTTCCATACAGACCCTGGAGAATGTGTCACACCACCCAGGCAGGCCAATGTTACCATCCTGATTCACCTCCGTGTGTGTACTGGCTTTTAACTTTGGTCAACTTGACTTGGACATGGGCAGAGTCCTGGATGACCATCCAACCCAGCCCAGACCTGAGCCTAAAATTCCCTAATAAGTCAGGATATCACCTGACTTTGTACAGTGCTGTTCCTGACCTTCAGGACTGAGTAACAAAGCAGGTTCATTATACATCCATCTGCCAGTGATGGGATGAAAACCAGTCTCAGGGAACACACAGCCAAAGTGCCCTTGATTATGAGGAGTGCTGGCATCCATCCTGCACTCTGACTTTCCAAAGAGCAATCTGAAACCATAACCTGGCCTGTCCTCATGAGGGACATGGCCAGTGGAAGTGGACTCCTGGGCCTGGGATTCAGCAGAGAAAGCTCACCAAACCTCATGAAAACCTCTGGGCATCACTATTATCTCTATTGAGAATGAAAAGAATGAAATTTCAGAGGAGGCAAATCCCTTGCCCATGACCATAGTCACTTGTTTCTTAACTTCTTCCAGGAAGAATTTAACTCTGTGCACAAAGCTACATGGAGAATGAAATAAAATAAAATCTAAGGAATGAACAAAACAAGCAAAAGAAAAATGAAACCAGGTTCAAGATGAAATTTATAAATAAAATGCCTGGAGTTGTGTGCACTTGATAAAAATGGATCACAAGCTTGGCCCTGAGCTGGCTGACAACCACTAGGAAAAGGACAAAAGGGACAGCCCCCAGCCTAAAGTTCCTGCACTGTTTTCTTAGGAGAGACTGCTGGATCTTCTTTGAGCACATCATTGATGTGCAAATATTAGATAACATTATTTTCTCCAACCAAGGAGGAAAAAGAAGAGGAAGCTATAGCAAGAAGATATAATCTAACAAAAAGAGCTAAGCACCAAGTAGAGCTCAGAGCTTTCTTCCCATCCAGGTCCTCAGGCGGCCTCCTGCAGCTGACACCCCAGCATTAATCTGGGGACATCACAGGAAGGTTATGTGATACTCGTATCACTACCTAAGGAGACAAAGAGGAGCGGCATCAAGAGAGTTAAAATGCATGAACCAACCTTTCCTGCATCCTACATTCTCCTCCTGAGAGAAACAAATCAAAACTCCTGGGTTTCTTTCATCAACCTTGGGCATGCACAACACATAGAGGATGAGTGGATCTGTCTTTAAGTACAGATCTACATATTCATCTTATAAAATTAACCATCACCTCTGCACCTTCTTATCTAGTTCCCATTGCTCTAGCAATTGAAACACTTTAGGGAGGGCACACTGTAGAAATTTTAATTAATCCCAAAGTAGTGTCTGGTTTTTTTGTTGTTGTTGTTTGTTTTAGAAAAAAGTATCAAATTTTGCATTAGATATGAAGTTCTTTCAGACAGTCTAGAAATGACCATGGCAAGTAAAAGAAAAGCAATTCTTCCACTACCAGCCCCACATGGTGCAGGTAGTGGAAGCTTTTCCTTCTGAAAGCAAGCTCTACACAGAGCAGGTTTGTGTTTCAGGAAAGTGAAATAAGATCAGTAATAAAACCAGCCTGACTGAGCCTTGCCCTGGCCAGGCCTGGATGAGAACATTCCAGGAGTGCCTGATACTATCTTCCTCACAGGCCTGCATGGCCACTCGGGGTCCTCTCATCATATGCTTGGACTCCTGAGACTTCATCCAGGCCCTCAAGGCATGAACTTGCACTCAGAGCTTCTAGGAAGGCCTCCAAACAGCAAATAAGCTTCACAATTCCACTCACACTGCCTTCTAGAAGCATCGGCCACATTGGCCTCCACTCTGGGCCTCCAACAGGACTCACTCTTGCTGGGATGGGGTCTGCTGCTGTAGCTTGATGGGACCCTGGCTATGGAAGGTGTCCCATCACAGAAGGGCTCTGCATGAAAACCCATCCTGTCCACTCAGCTCACAGTTGAGCTCCCCAAGTCCTGCCTCATCATTCTGTTCTTGTTCCTTTCTCTTCGCTTCTCTGAGGAAGTGGCTTCATTTCCTATTTATGCTGCATTATCTGAAGGGACACAATGTGTGCTTCTCTCAGGCTCATGGCAGAAGCTTGGCAGGCATGAGCCTGATGGACAGAACTATGGAGGCAGCCATGTCCTCTTGCAGAGAGCCAGACCAGCGTCTGTCAGCTCTGCGGGCTGGAATGCGTCCTGCACCTCCTCATGCCTCTTCAGTGAGCTCAGAGTGAGTGAGGAAATCACTACAACATCAGCCCCAGCTTCATGATGCTGAATGAAGCCCTTCTGAGGCTCTCATTGCAGTTTTGAAGGTAATCTCCTAGGCAGAAAACACCACAGCAGGACTCTAGAATGATTGTGGTTAATACAAACTCAAAGCTAAAATGAAGACATCAAGCTGAAATTCGACTTAATCTTCAGGTAGGATGGTCATGCAGAGATGGACTAGCCACACCCAGACTGTCTGGCCTCAGCTTTCCCCTAACAGGATCCCAAAGCTCCTGGATGTCCCCACGGACAGAGATGTCTTCTGTCTGAGGGCTGTGGCCACCACACAGTTTAAAAATGGGATTTGGGGTGGGAGCTCTGGGCTATTGGTAACTGTCCCAATCTCCAGAAGAATCAAAGAGCAAATGTGTTAGTACCTGAGACCTCCTTGAGTGCTGGAGACCAGAGGTCTCTGCACTGGCAGCATGCAATCAAGTCCTAGTGAAAACACAGGACATCAAAAGCTTAAGCCAGTGTCCCCAGCTGGAGACACCTAGTGAATACTATGGAATATCATGACCGTAAGGAGTTAGTATCAGACCAGGATGCCACCAACAGGGCACAGGAGCAGGTCCAGGCTGAGTCACTCCTGCACCCTGTGCAAGGCATCCCTTGTGATTTCAACCTGAACCCTGTCCTACAGTAAGTTGCAGCCATGAGTGTGACAACTTGGATGAATTCTGTGCACACAGCTGCCCTCACCCAGGCAGGCCAGAGAGAGGGTGGTTCTGTGTGGACTCTAGCCCAGCGAGGACCAGGCCCTCTTGCAGGCTTGCCCATCTGCTATTTCATCTTCTTTAAAGTACAGTGCTTGTCTCTTCACTATGAAATAACTATGTCAGGATAGACAAGCATAAACTCTGATCCAAGTATCTTCATAGTTCCTTAGTAACTCATGGTTTTCTTTTTACTTTGGCTGTTACAAAATGTGCCCAACAGGAATAGCCCTTCAGAGCTAGACTCCAGGCAGCAGCAAGCCAGTGAAGACCTGGCTCTTGGGCCACTGATGGACCCCATGGCTAAGGTGGAGAAGAACAAGGAGAGGCTCAGGAGAAGCCTCCCTAGGCTCCAGGCCAGCCAAGCCAGAGGGGACTTCTGGACAAGGGTGCCAGAGCCCAGGGCAGAAGCCAGCTGATGTGGCAGGATCCCCCCATCACAGGGCCACTTGTGGCTGCCATCCCAGGAGGCTGACTTGAGGCACTAAGACCAGCAGAGAGAGGCCATGGCAGAACCACTGTGGATGGAAACCCAGCATCAGCAAGGTCAAGCTCCAGCTGGGGGACAGAACAGGAGCCAAAAAGATCACGTGGCCAATGACAGAAGTGTCCTGAGGCCCAGGGGTGTTGCCTTGTCTGCCACAGGTCACCACAGCAGTGGCCTCTGGCAGAAAGAAGTGGTCATGGTTCCGAAAGGATCAAAGTGGGCTGGACCTTGATTAGTCCATCTGCAGGAAGTCAGAACCTGGTGCACACCCTGACTGGGAGGAGAAAGACCAGAGACGCACTGAGAATTGGGGTCACAGGACTCACATGTGGACTGGAGAGGGTGCAGGTGAGAATCCAGGAAGGGCAGCTTGGGAGAAATATAAGGGTGGAGAAAGGAAGGACTTCCCCTCTCCCTGGGGAACCTAAAACTCAGTACTGGAGAGGCCACAGCATTTGTATCAAATAACGACAAACAGGATCAGGAATAACTAAGAACCCAGAGAGCATTTACAGGGGACACCGAGCTGTTCACTCAGCTAAGGCAACGCAGAAGGGAGGGTCTGTCAGGAGGCAGGAGGAAGAGTGGGACTCAGACTGGGGTGTGTGTGTATGTGGCTACAGAGAGTGGAACAGCTTGGGGCAGAGGCTGGATGAAGAAAGAGCAAGTGAGAGAAGTGAGAGGAAAAGAGGCAGGGAACGGGAGAAGGGGAGAGCCAAGTAGGAGGAGATACAGGTTCAACTTGTAAATTAGACTTGAAGGCTGCAATCTGGTAGGTGGCACCACTGAAGTGTGTGCTGCCACCTGGTGTCAGCATGTCTTAATTACAGATCCAGAGTGGCAGTGAGGGTTCCATCTTCGTGTGCAGGCGCGCGCGCGTACACACACACACACACACACACACACACACACACACACAGAATAGCTCAGGACAGACACAGTTTTTGCATTTCTTAAACTGAGACAATGCATATTCTTGAAGGAACAAAAGTTCAGTACTGTTGATTAATATGCAGTCATTTCTTGTCCATTTACAAAGTGATAGCTTTCCAAGTATTACTACAATGGATGGTTTATTACTTAAAACGTTGAATTAGGTAAAAGACCAAAATAAGAGAGAGCCATACACCCTAGGAATTTAGAAGGCAAACTCCAACTTGGAGAAATCAGAATTATTACTTTGACCTTATGAAAAGCAAAGCACCGTGTCACATCACTGATAGAATCTCTGCTTGGGAAAGGTGGTGTGCAGTTAAGGAATCCAAAATGCCAGTCTCCCCTCAGTATGTCTCCTTCCCTCTCTTCCTTCCCTGGGTGTGACCAGAGTGGTGCTTGGATGACTGGCTGTGTCTTACACTACTTTATTCTTTGTCTTTTTTTTTTTTTTTTTTTTTTTTTTTTTTTCAGAACCAGGGATTGAACTCAGGCCCTTGGGCTTGCCAGGGAAGCGCTTCTTCCACTGAGCCA